GGGGGGGGGGGGGGGGGGGGGTTCTACTGAAACCACTACTCTGTATGTTAACGTTTAGAGCAAACAAAACGGAAATAACAGTTAAGAATTTGTTAATGAATGTTAGGACAGGTAATTTTCAATTTAGACAAAATAAGTAACACTCATTGGCGTGATTGGCTAATAATTAACAAAATATAACAAACCCTTTCACAATTGCAACACAAGGAATTGCAGTTTACTGTTACCACGAGTCAGGAATGTCCAATCAGAAACTGGTAAAGGCTCGGAAAAAGTTGGAGGATTAGGAGGATAATTTTTAATACTTTCCTAAATTCTAAAAAACCGCATCCTGCAGGTTCGGGGAATAGCGCAATACCGCATTTCGAAATTAAAATTACCAAAATACCACAAGAAAAATTGTCCAGTGCCGCAATACCGCAAACCCCAGTGCCCCCCTCTACAAGGCTTGTAATTAAAGGTGGAGTGTCTGCTACAATATAGGTAATAGGAGTTTGAATATTCTGATTGCAAAATAACAAGCGAACAAACATATGAAAGTAATAAAAATATTAAGCCAAGTATAAATTGCTGCAAAACCAGTTCCTGTGTTGCGACTCAGAGACAAATATTAAGCTCAAGGAAAGTTTGCCAAAAAGGTCAAAGTCCACAGACTTTTTATACTGACAATTTTAGTTGCGTTTGGAAGTGAAAAAATATCCCAAATAGTTACAGTTAAATTAATGGTGCGCCTGCAAAACTAAAGCCAAGGTGTGAGAATTACGCTATCTAGAAAGTCTCAGCTGGGAATCCAGAGTTTATAGTAAACAACTGAATATCGTTAACACTTTGCAAGTTGTGCATTTCAGTGACGCGTAAAGCCGCCGAAAAAATACGAATTCAACATAACTTCAGGCTTTGAGCGAACAAATTTCTCTTGGATGGTTGTTAAATAATTGTCATATCACTACATTCCCTTGCACATTCATGAATTCGCGTTAGTCGAGAATTCGAGTTTTGAGAACAGGCCGGCGGGTTTGCAAGTGTGCAGAAACGTGCAAATTTGCGTACGTGGAAACAAGCACGAACTAATTTATTCCTTCATCTGTGGAAGCCTAAACAAAGAAAATCCTCGGAATACTTACGTTTGACTTTCCCAAATGTTCCAACACCCAAAGTAGTTCCAAGCACATAGTTCCCGATACACAGTTTCGAGATCAAGGTTTGATCTCTACGCTCTTTCGCCGCCATGTTGGGATAAGGAGTCACGTGATCATTGTTGCTTTTCCTGCTTCGGCGTCTTGCAAGCAACCGAGGCATTGTGGTCCAAGAATGAATTTATCTGGTTCTACAATATGGCGACCGGCGTTGAGGGCGTTAAACTCCGGTGGGATTTATCCGCAGAAGAAATCCTTAAGCGGACAGACGAACTCATCGAGCGATCGAAGAGAGTTTACGACGCCGTCGGCGCGCTGAAACCAGATCAACTGACTTACGAAAACTGCTTGAAGGTACTGTAAACGTGTTGGTTTTTTTGTCAGTCAGATCACATTTCACGAGCTATGCACGTGCAAGCTCTTTGCTTTTCAGTCGTGTTGCCGTGCAAATCGCCGTGATGTTTTGTCTGAAAGGGCGTGAGCTTTGTTTAATTCGCCAACCCCGAATGGTGCTTTTGTTCGGATTGTGCAAAGTTTAAGTGGAAAGTTTGGTTCCTGCCAATGGAAGGGTCGAAAATTTCTTAGCTGTTGTTGTTGCTGTAGAGACCTGGTTTGAGCACGATGCCTTATTTTCCCTTGGAAGACACCATCGAGTATCTTTTCCTCGTGGCAAAAGGCTCTACTTCAAAATGCTAGGAAGGGACACATTTTTATGAAAAAAATAAGTTGTTAATGTACCTGAAAGTGGTTTTACTGCAGAAACAACGGGGGGTGAAGATAATCTGTGAATTTTTTCCCCCGATTTCGAAAGATAGTGGGCAACTTCTGTGTAAACCCTGATCATGTGAAACCAAAGTTTGCCAATGTAAATATAAGATTGAGTTATTTTTAAAATTCTGTAAGAGTAATAAGGTGCCTAAGTTTCCTTAAATTTAATCGGTTCTGACTCATAACACTGGTTCATTGTTTACTCAGGCCTTGTGTGATGATACCGCTGAATATCACACCGCAAAGTCTGTCCTGGATTTTCCACAGCATGTCTCCACAGGTATTGATCCCCTTTAGAAAATAACCGAGAAAAAATATGCGCGCTGATTGGTTAAAAATCATCTTTCTATAACTCTAAAGAACATACGTGCTGTTCACATAATGATGGAGTGAGCAAAGAGAATTTACATTTTGATGATCAAAGCACTTGTTAAAGGAATGACAGCCGCTTCTCTACGTTTTTGAAGTGTCTGTGAGGTAGATTTAGATAAAGTTTTGAGTGACTAAATATAGATTTATGCTAAAACATTAGATTATTTGCTCTTAAATTCTATGTGTGATAGTTGACTCGCACTGCACTCTTGTCAACTATCATGCGATAGAAATCTTGAGCACTTACATGTAATGTTACTGTTAAATAGAAAGACTTGTGAAAGTAAAACCAATGGAAATAACATGGTTCTATATTATTTTGTCACTGAATGCAATGTATGGATTTTGTGGTTCCAGAAAATTTCCATACCTACAAACCCTGCGGAGGGTTATTGAAATTCCAAGGGAGAGGGGCTGGGGTCTCAAAATACAAATATTTTTAAAGGAAAGTATGATGGTAAACTGGAATTTCCAGAGGGATTCGGGGAAAGGGGATGTAAACTGAAAAAGGTCTTTGAGAGGGGTATGGATATTTTCTGGAATAACACCTAAGTCAGTCAGTCAGATCATTGGCCGTAAACTTTCTGGGGTAATTCTGCTAATTGTTAAATACGCAAGGGGCAGCTGAGGGTGGAATAAGAGGGAGGGTGGCTGAGGGATCAAATTAAATGTGAGTGATCAGTAGGTTAAGACCGAGAGAAGGGAGGACTGGAAGATTAAGAATTTGTACATAATCCTTTGCAAAAATTATGCGATGACATTACTTTTGTTCACCTAACATTTTATTTTAGACAAAGACATCAGAACGGCCAGTACTGAAGCTGATAAAAAACTTTCGGAATTTGAAGTGGAAGTCAGGTATTTCAAACAGTAACATGACTTTTAGTGCAACATTTTCGAGAGTTTAGAGTACAGTGTTAGCTTTAAACAGAAAGAGTATTGAATTGGATTATGCTGTAAATAACATTACTATTCTGCCAGTTATAATTTACAAAACATTTTGATATGGATCTGTCTCTGGCCAGAGATCATTATTTACCTAAAGGATTGCATTCTCTGGGGACAAGAGTACAGAGTACAGTGTTTGCTTGAAACACTGTAGAGTACAGTGTTTGCATGAAACAGAAAGAGTATTGAATTGGATGATGCTGTAAATAGCATTGTCATACTATTCTGCCAGTTATAATTTACAAAACATTTGATAGGGATCTGTCTCTGGCCAGAGATCATTATTTCCCAAAAGGATTGCGTTCTCTGGGGACAAGAATTATGTTCTTAAAGGAGCTCAGTCATGGTTTGCACATTTTGAAAAGTTTAGCCTAAATTTTTCAAATTCGTTGTTTGCAATCGGTGTCAATCTTGACCATCCTTGACCATCCTTGTTCCTTTATGATTTATTACTATCTCTTTGATGTTTTTCTATCTTAGGAAACTATTATTTTTAGTTTTCCTTCCATTTAAAGGAGATTTTGTATGTAGCCGAAAAAAAAAACGACAAAACACTGTGACTGAGCTCCTTTAAGTACTTATCACCATTACAAACTAATGATATTACAAGTAAATGTTTCTTTTTCACTTTAATTTCCAGCATGCGGAAGGATGTCTTTGACAATCTTGTGGCTTTTCAGGTAATGAAAATATCTAAGAGCTAAAAATGTTTTGTGATAAAAAAATTTTGTGGATAAACTGTTTTGGTTTTTAGAATAGTCAACAATTAAATTATTTAGTAGCTGTAGATAATTCATCGACATCTTTCTACACAGGAGAGACATAAAGAACCCTTGTCTCCTGAAGCTGTACGTGTTTTGGAGAGGCTAATTAAACATGGAAAAAGAGATGGTATGTTTCTCATGTCTACAGAAAATTTCCAGCAACAGATTGTTAAACACAAGAGAACAAAGAAATGGGAAGGTGCTCAGTGAAACAGCTTACATGTATACAAATCACACCAACAAGTTTATATAATATGCTGAAGTTAGATTCCTGACCCACCATAAAGGTGTGCATGAGGTTAGCAGCTGCCAGCTACTGTACAATATATTGCTGGATGTAAATTAGGAATGATCTACATGCAGGCTGTTTGAGTGTTGTAATTAACTGAATCATTGAATAAAAGCTTTAGTGTAGTGCAGGTACACATGACGTGAAGGAATGTGTTGCGTCTGCAGTCTACCATGAAAAAGTACGTCTTTGTCTACAATGTAACTATAAACAGCTGTGGCTAAATTTTATTACAATTAATGAGTTAAGTCTTGTTTTATATGGATACAGAATTTCCTAGGTTTAGGGGGGAGGGGCCAAGTAGAAAAATCATGGAAATCCCAGGGGGTGGTGGGGGGTACCGTGAAGCCCCCTGGAATGGAAAATTCTGGGGGTTGGGGGGTGAAACTGGAAAAACCCTTCGGGGAGGGAGTATGGATATTTTCTGGAACCACACAATCTAATTATTGTTTAATAGAAATGCAGTAGGTGCATTAGCCAGAGGTAAGTTTTCTGACACCTTTGTGAGTTCTCCCAAACATTCATGAGTGTTTCTTAAAACTGAAACCTAACTATGAAAATTATATGGAGAAAATACAAGGAAAAGGAATGAGAAAATACACATTACTTTCTTCATATATTTAAAACAGGGTGAAAATAATTGTTAAATGTTTTTTTTTGTGCACACCATCATTACATTAAAAGCTTGTGTTAGTTCTGGAATTTTTTTAAATTAATTGGCAGTTGTATTAATTCAGTATGTGTACATTTTTTTTCTCCCAGGTCTTCATTTACCTGTAGAAGTACAAGGAGAAATAAAGGCAATCAAGACTCGGATGAGCAATCTGTGTATAGACTTCAACAAGAATTTAAACGAGGAAAATACAATCTTAGAACTTACAAAGGAAGAATTGGGTATGTCTCCTCTAGACACTTCAAACCAGTGTACAAGTAGCACTCACCTGCCCGTTGTAACTATGTGATGTTGAGATTTAGCTGAGCTGCTTTTCTCCAATGACAGGGTTAAAGTGGAGTCATCATTGGCTAAATTGAGAAAGTATACTTTCACAAACTGGAGGTTTCAATAAGAGCTGGCAACTGACAAAATATGTTATCTTTGTGAAGCAAATTCACTGAGCTAAATTTGCTGGCCACTTTCTGTGAAATTAATATGACTGAGAAGTAAACATTGAACTTTAGCGTGCTGCTTAAAGGGAAGGTCACTCCGGAAAATGTATTGTTTTTGTCAACGGTAACAAAAACCTTGCACTGAGTTTAATAATCACTCACCGAAGTTTCAGCCTCTTAAGTGTAGGTTTTCCTTATGAAATTTGTCTCCAAAGAAGCCAAAAATTCGACATTGTTGCCACTATTTTGAACAGTGCTCAGCAGCCAGGCTGTGTTTTCGTGACATCATTCCATCCAAGCCATTTTGTCCACTCTGGACTATTGCTGTTCTGAAACCGTATTATTTTGGGCCAAACATGCTCTAAACTCCGAAAACGTTCAAAAGCAGTGAAGGTAGGAAAGTGGGTAATTGCTTGCAAAAAAATGCACTTTATGGACCTTGTGAAGGATGCAAAGTCAGTTGCAGATTTTTCTCCTTCCCGCCAATTTCAAGTCGGATGGAATAACATTCATAAACTCGGCCTGGCTGCCAAGTACTGTTCAAAATGCTGGCCTCCAAAGTCACTTCTTTCGAGACAAATTTCTTCAGGATAGCAGGCGCTTTAGCGGCTGAAACTTCGGTGAGTGAAAAAGCTGAATGTCTATTTGCTAAAGGCGAAGACAAAAATACATTAAGCTTTTTGTTTTTGTTATTTTTGTTTCTATTCTAACATGCAGCTGGATTGCCAGATGATTTTATTAACAGCTTAGAAAAGGTAAATTAATTTTAGTGAATGGAATATGTATGACGTTATTCTTAGGGGTGTCAAAAAGTTGTGATTTATGCAGTGTGATTTTACTGCATTGTTGATGTAGGCAGCTAATTTTACCTTCTGTTTTTGTAAAGAATCAGACAGATATGCCTGCAGATTAGCTGGCTGAGATCATATAGTACATGATGATTTTTTTTAAATATGTATTTTGGTTATCAAAAGTAGCAGCTGGCTGCTAACTTTCTTGTTTTTCACCCCCTTTATTCCATAGAGGAGCAAAGGAGCATCCACAGATTTCCTCTCATCATTTAGTTGCTGGGCTTTGATATTTTCCATTTTGTGTCACCGTGACCCTATCTGCCCCAGTTGTTGTTCAGCTGACCCTCTACATGTTTATATAGTTGTTATTAGGTCTTCCTCACTTTATGGTAACATGACAGATTCTCATTCTCAATAATGTATTTTTCATTACTTTGCGTAGACAGATGCTGGCCTAAGCAAAGTTACTCTCAAGTACCCTCATTACTTTCCAATAATGAGAAAAGCCTCCAATCCTCACACCAGACAGAGAATGGAATATGCCTTCAACAGGAGGTACAAGCTACATCAAGATGCTTTGTTCTTTTCCTTTGTTTCATTGTCCCAATGGTTCCTTCATTGGATGGTGTTTGTAAATTCCCAAAATATCAACATTGAACTTTTTCTTAGTGCAGTTCAATATATGATTTGATTTTTGCACCGCTGCGGGGAGGGGGAAAGATTTGAATTGAAGGGAGTGGCAAAGAATTTTGAAGATACTCTTGGGACGAAAAGAGTTAGTAATATTGATTGTACGTGGTTTAATTTAGATTAACATTCTACACTAGATTTAATATTTTATGCTAACTTCATTAGATGCATCCAGGAAAACACTCCTATTTTGGAAGAACTCGTGGAATTGAGACAAAAGGTACATTGTGCATTTCTTGTATTCTCGAACCTCATTATTTAAATACTCGAGGCAGTCAAAGATTTTGAAGTGTGAGTGAAGGCAGTAAAACAGCAGTTAACAAGGCTCGAAAAAACTCCCGTCCGCTCGTCCGGGACAAGTAGATTTTTCCTTTGGACAAGAAACTTTTTCTCCTTGCTTGGCCCACGGGCAAGGACCCAGGCAAGCCATTTGCCAACCAAATTTTTGATAACAATTTTGAGAGGAAAAGGTAAATTTTAGGCTCAAGGGTAATCAATACAAGTGTTTAGATGAAGCTTGACGAAAATTACAATTTATAGCATTGTTTTGTTGATTGCGTGACACGCGCTCACGG